TAATTTTTCTTCTCTTCCTCTCATGAAGTCAAAATGTAATCATAAAAATAGGATGCTCACAGCAGTTAATTTTTTAGTAGTAAAATTCAGAAACATTTGAAATCTACAAAAACAAGGGAACGATTAAATAAATTATGGTATTCTCCATCAAGCAGCCATTTTAAATTATATTTACCAAGAAGTTTTAATAACATTCAAACGCAGGATACAGAATGTCTGTACACAGCACAAGCACAACTTTGGGTTTGTTTTATTTAAGCACACATACATAATATCAAATCCTCAAAGGAAAGTATTCCAAATTAACAGTGACTATATAAAATCCTCAAAGGAAAGTATCCTAAATTAATAGTGACTATTACACCCTCGGAAACCCTGTACAGGGTCGCTATGGGTCGGAACCGACTCGACGGCACTTAACAACAACAACAACAATTTGGGTGACAGGGTCGTGAGTGGTTTTTATTTTCACATGTTTTAGATTTTTTTTTGCTTTCTAGTGGGTATGTGTTACTGCAACAATTAAAAATGCATGCATATGTTTGTATACATTTTTAATATAATCATTTAAACACATAAGCTGTTTGGAGCCCAGCTATCTTAAAAACTGAACAGAGCTAAGATCTTAGAAATAAAAATAAAATTAATTCTGAGCAGCCAAAATCTAATGTTACAAAAGTCATGTAATAGAGCATGTTATGCCTAGTACATTCTCTGGGTCATCACTCAAAAAATTCTGTAGGACATTTGCTTTACAAGAGCACAGCAAATTAAAAGCAGACCAGAAAAAAAAAAACCATGGTGATCAAAGGGTAAAGTTTAGATGCATAGACCTATTTTTTCTATCCAAAATAACTAGTATTCTCACAATTCCTAAAGGAAACACTTCTCTGTTACATGAATTTTCCCAGTTGCATCTGGTACTATCATTACCTAAGTTCCCAGAAAAATCCAAGGAAACTGAAGAATAGTATCACAAAATCAGGTTGTCAGAAAATGTCAAAGTCTCTACTTCTTAAAGCTTTAGTGTCCATCCATTAAAATAAGAGTAACATCCCATAGCTTTGATAATAAGATAAACCTGAAACGAAACTCATTGCTGGTGAGTCGATTCTGATAGGAGGGTCACTGAGTAGGGGTCCTTGTTGTTTTGTGGCGTTGAGTCAGCTCCAACTCATAACGACCCTGTATAGGGTTTCTAAGAGTGGCTAGTGGGGTTGAACTGCCAGCCTTACAGCTAACAGGCTAGTGCTTTTCCTATAGAATCACAGCAGGGCTCCAGCTTCTCATTGGCACTTAATAAGTGTCAGTGAATATGAGTGTAGGATGTAGTGGATGCAGGGCTGTGCAGTGGAACCCAGTCTAGTTCAGACACCAGCTCTGCAGCCTTGAAAATATCACATAACTCACCCTCCTGCCCACCTTTGTCACAGTGGAGATGTGAAGACGCTATGAATAGGGAGGGGTGTCACTTGCATTATTTTTCTGTTGTGCCAAGTTGAGGAAAACTTTTTTGTTGTTGTTGTTATTGTTGTTAAGTGCCATCAAGTCAGTTCCAACTCATAGCGACCTATATAGGGTTTCCGAGGAGCGACTGGTGAGCTTGAACTGCCTACCTTGCAGCCTAAAGTAACTTTGCAGTCCAACACAGGAAAGCTTTTGTTGTTGTTGTTGTTGTTGTTGTTGTTGTTGTTGTTGTTGTTTAGGTGCCATCGAGTCGGTACCAACTGATAGTGACCTTATGCATAGCAGAACGAAACACTGCCCGATCCTGGGCCAACCTCACTACTACTGCTTCCTTCATCTTAGCAGAGCAATGCTTGGTGTGCCCTGCCTTCCTCATGCCCCTCTCACAGCCCTGAGTGGCTAAACCCCCAGGACAGCTTCAGATACCAGCAGAAGTGGCGGCCTCTCCTGGGATGGGGTGGAAGCTGAAAGCTGGGCTGGGCTTGACTGTGGGTGGTGCTGATGCTGTGTTTTTGGTTGATTACCTAGCTGCCCTGTAAAATCATTATGGAGAGACACTGTCAGCAAGGGATAGAGTAAAAACAACAAGGTTGGCAAAAATGTCTAGCTTACCAAATGACTGTGAGTTTTGACAACAAAGCACCTGAGAACCCAGATTAAAACCAGTGGGTTTTACTCCATTTTGTTTTGTCTTCTTGAGCAGTAAAAACGGTAATTTACTGGTCTATTTGCCTGGTTCTGCATGTGCCCCAGTGCCACCCCTAATTACAAGCTCTCTTGGCACCACCACTTAGAGCCAGGCAAGAGACTCTGACAGGCTTATGGATTGGAGGCCTTACATTGTCTTTTCTCAAGGAGAATAAATAACCCTTACTCAGTTGTCTGAGACCACAGGTCTCAGAAAAAAATCCAAGAAACCCCCTTCCAAGACTAAGACTCAAGGGGAATACACGAGCAGACATGCACTCTGACTGGTGACCACGTTGGTCACTGATAAGGGGATGTGAGGGAAAAAACAGCAATGAAGCTGTGAGCTAAGTCCAATCATGTTCAATAGACTCCTGTGAACCCAGGTAGAGGCCTGGTTGGCCAGCAGTATGGCAAGACCTGGGAACTCATGGGCCCAGAGTCAGTGACATAGCCACAGAGGACTAGAGTGGAGAATGAAGCGTCCAGCTGATAAGAAAAGAGGGCATATGCACAAGAACACCCACACTTACAGATAATACCCACTTGACCTGGCTTCATTGACTGGATGATCAGAGCTCAACTAGAAGAAGAAAGTAGAGGGGAAAAAAGAGTAACCTGATACAGTTTGATGAATTTGACCTACACCTATGGATGCAGTAGCTCAAAAGAGGGAACAAATCTTTACAGCGAGGATCATTCCCATCCCCTTGATACACAGGATAGCAACTTGGACATTGGCTACCCAAAATGGGGGTGGGGGGGGCTACAAAGACAAGAAGTGACTGGCTCACAAGCTTTCAAGAGGGAACTTAGATCCAGAGGGCGTGGAGGAAGGTAGAATCTCCACCGAGTAGTATCCAATCTGTTTGGGCGGGCTGATGAAAGGAGATGGGGATAGGTCTCTTTTGGTACAATAGTGAATAGTTGTTATCAGGACTGATTGTGAGGGTTGGAAATGTAAAGGTAGATGTTTTGTAGCAAAAAGAGGGGAGTGATTGACTTTGCAGTCCAAGAGCGGAAGTCCCTGGAACCATCAAGGGAAAAGAGCTGAGTGCAGGACCCTACCCAGAGAAACAGCGGCGCCAGAGATGGAGGCAGGGACAATGACGTGGAGAGATGGTGGGGCTGGGGACTTTAGACCCACAGAGGGAGAGGGGCTGTGTGCTGACGACCGAGGGGCAGGCTTACGGGGTATACCCTTTGGTTGTTTGGTAATGCATGGAGGGGATTGTAACCATGGCAATGAAACAATACATGATAGGATGAATGTTCTCCCATGTAAACTATCACATAATTCACAATAAAACATTTAAAAAGAAAAAGAAAAAATCCAAGAGAAATGCCAAGAATGGGAGTAGAGGAAAGTGGGAGATGGGTCAGGACTCCGGCTGAGAACACAGGTGGAAAGGCACTTATCACATTGGAAGGAGGCCTGGTGCACAGGGGGTTACTAGTTGGACTGCTAACCAGGTCAGCAGTTTAAACCCACTAGTCCTTAGGAGAAAGAAGAGACTCTGCTCCCATAAAGATTTACAGCCCCAGAAACCCTAAGGAGCAGATCTACTCTGTTCTAATAGGGTTGCCATGAGTCAGATTTGACTCAATGGCAATGGTGATGGGGATCACTATTGTCATTTGAAAATATATTGTATGAATAATTGTCATCTTTTCCTGCAAGAATCGCCAGGCCTTGGTTGTTTCATATCTGTTTCCCCTCCTAGGGCCTGGTACATGTTGTAGCTGTTTGTTGAGCGAGTATGTGGCCTCAACTCCTGCCTAGTAATTACCCTTTACAAGCCACTTAGCTTCACTGTGTGTGTTTCCTCATCTGAAGAACTCAAGTTAGATGGATCTTTTGTGTGCGCCTCTCTCTGTTCCTGGTCCCTGTCCATTCGGAGTCGCACTGAAGCTGACTAGCTACATCTAAGCATCTTATCTGGAGCTGGGACCAGTGCTCTAGAGAGACCTGCCTAGCACAGTGTATAACATGACTGTCATTTCCAGAATCTGATCTCTCTTTCTATTAATAATGATCTTTACTATTTCAGACATAGGAGCAATAATGCCTACCCTGCTTTCTTAACAGGGTTTTTGTAAGGACCAGGTGAAATGATGGATATGAAATTACTTCATTAGTGATAAAGTAATGATTATTATTGCCGGCCTAAAGTTGTCTTCCTGAGAAATAACTCAGGCTAAAAGAAGGCCCTGAACACTCGGTGTTCTGTAAACTCGGTGTGACTATCTTTATAAAGGAGACGCCATTCCCAGGTTAATTTTTTCAAATATTTTGGCCCTTTCTCTGCAAGTTCTCTGATGTAAGATGATTAACGAGCAAAGGATATCAGAAAGACTTGATCATTGAGTCTTGAGTCACAGGTTCTAGTCCCAGTTTAGCCACTGCCTGAGATCAGGGCAAGTCATTTAACTTCTCTGCCAAATGGGGGAGACTGATTGATGAAGGTAAACTAAGAATTGAGTATTAACAACACAAAAATACAGATAGTCCTTGAGTCATATGATGTTGATTGCATCCTTCGTGCCATTTTCTTTTCAGATCCATTTCCTCCAGTTGCTTCAACGCTTCCCTATATGACATAGTTTCTAGCCCCGGTCCCTACCATGTGCCCTCTCCTCTGAGGATGCCTCTATCCCCCTTGAAGGAAGTTCCTGAAATTGAACCCAGCATGCCTTGTTTTGTGTCTTGCATTCAAACGCTAAGATGGATTATTATCTACGCTTATTATAGCACAAAACTAAATATGTGGTTTCATGTCTCTGGATGCAGAAGGCTTAAACTGAGTTCTGAAATATAAAAATCATGTCTCCTTTTTGTCTTCCAGTGACAGACATCATACCTCCAGTGCAATCCCTGTTCCAAAGAGACAAAGCTCCATATTTGGGGGTGCAGATGTGGGCTTCTCTGGGGGGATCCCTTCACCAGACAAAGGACACCGAAAACGGGCCAGCTCAGAGAATGAGAGACTCCAGTACAAAACCCCTCCTCCCAGTTACAACTCAGCAGTAGTCCAGCCAGTGCCCACCGTCCCTTCCATGGTTGAGTCCGAGAGAAAGACCACATCTCTGTCCTCCTCCTTGGATACTTCCTTGGACTTCTCCAAGGAAAAGAAAAACGGAGTCGATTTAGATAACGGCTTAAACGGAGGCCGTGCAAGTGTGAGTACTAGCCAGGACGAGCCAGCAGATGAAACCCCTTCTGAGCATCCTGCCACAGTAAATGGAACCCTCTTACCCAGTGAGCAGGCTGGCGCAACAAACACCCAGCTTCCAGATGACTTCCCCCCGGTTTCAGAACCTGAGCTCTGCTGTACCGTGGAACAACCAGAAGAAATCATCGGGCTAGAAGCCACAGGTTTCACCTCGGGTGATCAGCTCGAAGCATTGAACTGCATCCCAGTGGACAGTGCTGTGGCAGTGGAGTGTGACGAACAAGTTCTGGGAGAATTCGAGGAGTTCTCCCGAAGGATCTATGCACTGAATGAAAATGTATCCAGCTTCCGCAGGCCACGCCGAAGTTCTGACAAGTGAAATAAGCAGACACGCATGCTCAGTAGGACCAGGACTGAGTCGCTGCTTACAATAAGAATACAGCTGCACTTACCCTTCGTAATAATTATGGAACAAAATCAATATGAATGGAGGCTTTGCCTCGGGAAAACAAAGTTTAAGAATCGGGGAAAGACTCATGCTCAGTATGTATCAGTAGCCCAGACGAAGTTAGAGTATGCTTTCAAGATTTGCTTCTCAAGCTTGACAATTGTTTTCAGGCAGAAGTCATTCTCTAGTTTGAAAGAGCTTATAGCTCAAATCACCGGATAGGTATTTGTCTGCTTTTTATTTACACTTCTATGTTATCCTCAGAGGGAAGATGATAATATATATATAAATAATATAATGAACTCACCGTTAGTATCTTATAAGCATTTGGTCTCATCAGAGTTTATAAAACTTTGGGAAATAGGCCTCCACCATTTACTGAAGGGTCTTTGGCCACCCATCAGGTTGATGAAAACAGAGGTACAGTGGCCCTCCACTGTCTCGTCCCCCTTTACAGTGGGTGGGCTCTACATCCTGGGAACTCAGGATATCCGATTTACTGTTTTGTCAGTAACCATGACCTGCCACCATCTCTAAATAGCCATACCCTTGGTGTAGCCCACAAAACTTAGATTAAAAACCTCACCTCTGATGGATTCCCAGAGACCCTCAGAGACTGCAAGGTTACTGCAGTCAGATAATGTCCAAAAGTTTAGAAGTGGGTAAATGCTGTCGTCAAAAACTCAGCATGATTTCTGACAGAGCACTCGCTAGATAAAATCCCTGTATGTAAGTCCCACATTCATTCATTCAGTTTCAGCCCCCAGGAAGGCATTGCATATGATGAAATATAGAGAGTCGTCTCCAAAGTACAAACTGCAAGGCGGTTGAGGTAGATGGAATAAGAGACTAAATGAGGCATAGAACACTGTTGGTATGTGTGCAATTGCATCAATATTATGTTTTTAAAGTCCACTTGTCATTCCTGGAGCTCAAATTTCATTTGCTGTTGCTTTATACTTTATGTACCCAAGGATATCGCCTCAGGGTTGCAAGCTCTTTTAAAAGGAAAATTTATCCATATATCCATGTATTATAAGAAGAATAAAATCTGAGTTTACTTCACCTGACCTGATTTTTTTTTTTCCAGCTTTGAACTCTTGAACCTATGTCTCCATATGTTACATCATGACAGGACTAGTCTGAACAAAATCTGTGGCTGTGGCTAAGTTAATGTTGCTTTCATTTGAGTTTACATATTGTGTATAGCAACACAAACACCTCCACAGGTGTGCTCTCCAATAGCTGCATTTTTCCTACATAGCAACTTAACTCATAAGTTTCAGAATCATTTTCTTATTTTGTCCAGACATTCTTAGGCTCCACTTTAATTTAGAGCTACATTGTGGACTGGAAAAGTTCTCATTGCTATTGTCTGTGTAAAGACAACTCAGAATTACTGCACAGCAGACAGACCCAAACCTCAGGCAACGGAGAGCTGTAACGTCATCTAAAGAAGTCCATCTTGTTCCAGATAAAGAGAGGGAGTTGCCCCATACTTAGAGCAGACGCCATTTGTAAGGTCATGGCCTCTTTGCAGTTGTGCCATCGTTCGTTTTTGAGTCAAAAAGGGTGAGCACAGTCTTGGATACACATCAGTATGGGTTACAGGGTCCTTCACTGAAGTAATACCTACAGAACTGGGGAGGAGGCTTTGTTAGTATTGAAGAATGCAAGGTGAGTTGCATTGTGGTTTGTGATTTCCCCTAGAAGTGGAAGTGAACTTTTGAAGTTCATGAGAAACTCAAAGACAGGTCATTCAGATACAGGTCTTCTAGCCTGCTCCTGGCACCACCAAGCTGGCAGAGTGTGAACAGGGTCCTTGTTCTAGTATTGATCGCAGGTTCTGGACCACCAGATGGAACCTGGAGCTTTGGCCTTCCCTCCCTCCATCTTCATGGACACCCTGATTCTGGGGTTCACAACTTTTCACCACCGCAGCTTGGAGCTGTGCTGTTGGAGGTGATCGGATTGCTCAGAACTGATCGATAGTCACTTCCACGTTAACGTGATCCGCACTCAGTGTGGTCCATGACATGTGCCTCCAAACACCTCTTAGGCTCCTGTGTGCTTAGTTTGGGCTTTTAGCTTTTCATCTGAGTTTGTTTGATTCCTATCGCTTCTGCCAAGACCTATCTAGAATCCACAGTATTACATTTTCCAAACCTGCAGGATTCATTTTGCCTCTGCTTAATATGGAAAATGTGGGAAGAGCTGTTATCTGGTACTAATTTTATTAGTCTTGTCAATCACCAGTTGTTTAGGATTTTTTGGTTTTTTGTTTTGCTTTAAAGATACAAATTGAAGTGTAAACTCACATTACTATCCATTTCTGAACTGCTAAGAACCCTTTCAGTTTTCATGCAGCTGAGGTACTTACCAGCCAGTGAATGCTATCAAATGAATATTTGATTGTGTTTTCTCTATCCACTTCCCCTTGCCTGTGTTAGAAATTCCAGGGATTTTTTCCCCCCTCAGAATATTAGTTTTGGAAGATTGTATCCAGCTATATTTTTATAGCATTCTTAATGGTGCCCATTTATCCTGACCTCACTGGTTATTTAAATAATTTTTTAAACCACCACCAATAATAAATGGCATGTGAAACTGATCTGTTGGTAATTGGGAAAAAACTCAGCATCTGTATTTATCAAATAAAATTGATTAGTATTTATTTTGAGAGTTAAAAGTGTATGTTATTTCCCTGCTATGTTTGAGTCCTGTCTTCATTGTTTTGAATTTCATAGTGAAACTGAGTTAACTATGAACACCTCATTCTTAAGCTGTTATCCAGCCCTTCCATACTCACTGAGTTCTCTCTGTGTGCCAGGAACTGGCAATGAACATGGTTAATCCACAGGTCAAAAGCCAGGACCTCTGCCACATTCCCGAATAGACATACAGCTGCATTAGCAATCAGTTATAGTTTGGTGTGATAAATTCTATGTTGGAGCGACATATAGCCATGCTGTAGAACAAGAGAAAATTTATGGAAAGTTCATGAAAGCAATGAAGATGAAAAGGATTAAAGATTTCACATCATAGAGGGAGGGAATAGTATGAGCAAAGGCCCGGAGACGAGGCAGAGCTGGTGTGTGTTTGGAAAACTGCAAAGAGTGTTTTTGTGCTAAGGGCCTGAGTGGATGTGAAGAAAAATGAAAGAAATTGAGTTGCAGGCTGATGATGGATTTTAGGTGCCAGGTTAAAGGATCATGAAATGGCTCAATGGATTAAGCAGTTTGAACCCAGCAGCTGCTCCGTGGGCGAAAGATGTGTCCGTCTGCTTTCGGTAAGGATTTACGTCTCTGAAACTCTCTGGAAAAGTTCTACTTTGTCCTTTAGGGTACCTGTGAATCGAATCAGTTTGACGGCAATGGGTCTGGTGTGGTTTAGTGAGCAACTGGTAGGTAGATAGGTACCTTGTGCAGACTTAAAGCCTGTTAGGTATGAAGTATGACTAGCAGCCAAGTCAGAGCTGGCCTCCAGTGATACTTGCTCGAGTCCACTTAACCTGCTTTCCTTTTTCACTGGAATAAAAGAAAATATATGTGTCTCAAAAAGAAATTCATCCTTGAGTGCCTAATGTTTTCCAAGTGATGTTGAATAACAAACTGGGTTTTACTACGAGGTATACTGTGCCAGTCTCAGAAATGCGGCCAGTAACTCTTCTTGGTTGTTGTTAAGTACATGGAGTCGGTGCCGACCCATAGCGCCCCCATATAGGGTTTCCAGGGAGTGGTTGGTTAGCTTAAATCGTCTACCTTGCAGTTCACACCAACATTGCAGTCCAGCACATTAACCCATAGCCTGTGGCCACCGTCCAACCCTCCATGCTCAGCCACTTTGGAGCCATGTTATTGTTGTTAAGTGCTGTCCAGTCATAACCCTGGTCAAATCACTGACCTAAGAGACCCCTTTTCTTAAATCTGTAATGCACTGGAGAGAAGGCTGGCCTGCCAGTTACGTTTGTTCGGGGCCTGGAGCACAGCCGGTGCTCGGTCAGTGTCAGCAGCGTCTGTACCGTCCGGGGTGAGATACCTGAGACTTGCACTCGGGTTTCTTGTGGTTTCACTTGGGCTAAACCTCTGCATCTCGCTGAATCTGGCTGCTGTGAACTAGGCATGCTACCCCTTCTCCCAGAGCTGTATGACTCCCGCACGTTGAAGAAAAGGTCACACATTAGTTATGGCACTTAATGGTTTTTAAGAAGCTCATCCCAGGAAGAGTCAGCTCTTCAACAAGGATTTCTCAGATCTGGTGGATCCGGCTTTGGTGGGATCACTGAAATGCACACAATCACTTTGTCCATGTTGAGGATGTCTACCTGAGCTTAAGCAGGGCTTTAGAAAAAAAGAAGTTTTTAACAAATGAGAAGTGTTTCTAGAGATCATGGTGGTAGGTTGCATGGACATGGGCTGACACACAGCCTATAATCCTAATTATATTTCATGGTTTTTAGCACCTGGCAAATAAGCTTACTTAGGCCTACCTCCCTGGAGAAGGACATCATGCTTGGACAAGTGGAAGGTCAGAAAAAAGACCCCCTCAACAAGATGGGTTGACACAGTCGCTCCAACAATGGCCTCAAATGTAACAATTTCAGGATAGCGCTGGACCACACAGTGTTTCGTGCTGCTGTGTATATTGTCAGTATCAGTTAGAACTGACTGAACTGCACCTAACAACAGACATCAGTAAATAGCCCCTAACCAGTTTCTGGCTCCTCACAAAGTGCTGAATTGGTGCCCAGAGCTCTTGATTTTGTTCAAAATAGATAGAAGCTTTCTCCTCTCCTGCCCCCGCTTAGTGCATCTAATTACAGTTTTATATGTAGACAGCTCAGCCTTGTGGATTTTAAATGAATAAAAAAAAATACATGTCTATAAAATAATTCCACAGTTTTAAGAGACAATGTCAGCAGTCCAGAAAACCATTGATCATGAATCTAGATATAAATACCAAAGAGCCACTTGGTTAACTAGCTATGGCCAGGACCTGTGCCCAGAGCTGCAGGGGGAGAGCGGAGAGCGGCAGGTTCAGATTCGTTCTGCAGCTGTGCACAAAACAATCTAATGAGCGTCTCTCAGCCCGTTCAGTTTAGAAGCAGCACATAGAAAGCAATGGGCGGTAGGAGTGGGCAGAAATAATGGACAACCTGACTCTAAGAAGCAGACACAAAAATTCTGTTGTTTAGTGCCATCTAGTCATTTCTGACCTATAGCCACCCTGTATAGGGTTTCGAGGCGCAGCTGGTGAGCTTGAACCATCAACCTTGCAATTCAAACAGCTCTGCAGTCTGGTACATTAACCCACAGCACCACACCAGGACT